ACACCTGACACCGATCACCTGTACAGGTCCTACAACAGCACTTCTCTTCAGCGTTGATTGACACATGGACTCGTCTTTCGGTGAATCTGGGAAACAGTTTGTCAGAGTCGGACCTCACACTCGTACTCATACTCACACCATCAACACAGAGAGGATAAATGACAGAAGAGCTGAGCAGGTGATGGATTTATAGCTTAACTGTCAGGATGAGCCGAAAGAGGAGAGGAGAGAAGATGAGATGAGAGGAGAGGAGAGGAGGAAAGAGGAAGTGAGGAGAGGAGACAAGATAAGGAAAGGAGATAAAGAGAGGAGAGGAAACAAATAAAGAAGGGGAGATGAGATGAGAGGAAACAAAAGAGGAAACAAGGAGGGAAGATGGCGAGATTTAGGAGAGAAAATTAGATAAGATAAGGATAGCAGAGGAAACAAAGGAAGGAACTAGGAGAGGTAAGGAAATGAGGAGGAGGAAATGAGAGGAGGAGGAGGTGAGGACGAGAGAAAGAAACAAGGCTGCCTGAGAAGCTTTTCACTGAAGCATGAAATGAGAATTGGAGGATTTTTACTGGTGGAAAATAAACACTCACAAACTCACACACACAAACACACACATATACACAGTAAGACACACTCTGTCTCATCAGCACTTAAAATTCTGACCCCATCAGTTACCCTCCTCACCCTTCCCCCTCCCAAAATATCTCCTCCTCCCTCGTCACTCTATCTGTCCTGGTGGCGCCTGTGTGTGTGTGTGTGTGTGTGTGTGTGTGTGTGTGTGTGTGTGTGTGTGTGTGTGTTGAGGCGTCAGTGCAGCATCCATCAATACTGAGCAGCAGCGGCAGAATGTGGAAACTGGAGATTCTGTCAGATGTGGACCCTCTGCTTTCTGCTCCTCTCTGCCTCTGTCTCTTCATATCTACAGATCAGACTGATGTTACTGCCTCTAACAACATCACAGCTTCTCGTGTCCTGAATGTGCTGTTTTTTCTCCAACATCACTCATTTACAATAAGAAGGAAACTTCCTGTGCAACAGCTCTGGGTTTCTTGATAGCAATCAACTGTAGAAGTTAAAAACATTTTGTAAAAGGTGAGTGAGCGAACGGACAAATGGCTCTGTAACATTATGTCAGTGAACCTGTGACTGTGGGAAGGTCCAGCTGCAGGCAGATGTCAGCGTCACGCACAAATTCAATCTTGAATCAAGCGGTGACGGTTCTCCGGAGTTTTATGAACTGTGTGAATGTCCTGTGTCAGGGAATGGAAGGAAAAAGAAATGCAGCTGTGAATGTGAATGGAAAAACAGAAGATACATCAGATGAATGATCAATGTAATATTACTAGTGCAGCCAACAATCTCTCACTGTGAGGCCTAAAGTTTAAAATGAAACTTGTTTTTGTGGTTCCTCTGAGGACGATCTGAACCTTATACCAGTTGTAGGAGGTCAGCAATAATCTGTGATTGGGCTCAGACTACAGGTTTTTTTTTTTTTTTTTTTTACAATTATAGAAATCTGGTCCTGGATGTTGGCTTGTACTGGTGTTTGGTCCAGATGATCTGGTAAATGTAGGGTCCACAGATCCAGTCTCAAACTGCTCACAGACTCATCGGAGCCACTCTGATAATATCATGTTTGGTATTTATTATTTATGATTAAGCAATGGTAAACATTCTAGCTGTTGTTGCTACCATTCGCTAGCATACTAATGTTTACAGATTTAAAACTGACCAATTCTCACTGAAGAATTAGACAATCTGTGTCGACCTTAAACATTATCTCATTCAGACTCTTTAGTCTTCTGATTTGTTTTCTTGTTGTAAAGTTGTTGAAGAGTTGTTGCACCACAGGCTCTATTTTGTTTACATCTGCTTCCCCATCAGACCCCAGATATGAGATCATGTGAGGTGATTGCTCTTTGGTTACTTGGCTTTTCTGAAACATCTCTTTAGTTTATGAAGGTTGAAAAGATGGTTCCAATGGTCCGATGATCTAACGGTTCAATGATCTAATGATGATCCAGTGGTCCGATCATCCCATAATCCAATGAGCCAAAGATCCAATGATCCAAGGATCCAATGATCAAAGTATCTAATGATCTAATGATCGAATGATCATCGTATCTCTCAGACGCTGTTGGGAAACATGATGATTTCACCAAATACTACAGATGTTGCTGTGTGTTAACTGACCACAGGAAGTGTGTGTGTGTATGTGTGTGTATGTGTGTCTCATATCAGCTGTAACATTTGTCTCTCTGAGGCAGCAAATAGGGCGATGAATGATATTGCCACAAACATGAGGAGGAAGTGTTACAATGAGAAGATGATTCAAATGCTTCCTCTTTTAACCGTGACCACAAAACTTTACGAACTTGAATCAAGTTGTATTTGTGCCTGAACTGAAGCCAGGTTCAGAGATGAGCCCAGCTTTTTGTTCTTTTCAGCACAAACGTTTCTGCATATGAACACGAGCTGCTGGTCCTCATCCAGGTCTGTTTTTTCATCCAGCGACACATGACAGTTGACGTGACGGTGTTCTCTGTGGAGTTGTGGGTCCAGAGCTCCAGCGGTTACTGAGCAGTGGTTCATTGTCTTGTCTGGTGTGTTTACTCAGTCATGAGGTTTCTGCTGCTTCCTGTCAAAGACGAACAACTCGGTGCAGGTTGGAGGAAACAGTCTTTCTGTGTGCTTTGTCAGAGTAGCAGAGACAAGTTGAGCTGAGTGAACAATGATACAGCTAAAAACAGTGAAATGATTTGACTGACAAAACAAGGTGTGACTCAGCTGATGATCATCAGAGTTTAGGCTGCAGCTCGACAACAGACAGCTGAGCTTCAAGTCAGGCAGGATGGGTTGGAAACATGCGAAACACACACATACAGACACAGAATGGGCCTCATTACTCACTATTTAACAGTAATTTTAACACGTCAGCTGCAGCTTCACAGAGAAGAGAAAATGTGTTTCTGTCCAGAGAACGGTTCAGACCTGGAGTCTGTAGGTGGACCAGAAAGTCTAGAGATCAGGTTCAAGTTCAGGTCGTTGACCTGCCTGAAGACCTCTACTGTGTGGTCTTATTATCCAGCCAACACACACACACACACACACACACACACACACACACACACACACACACACAGACTAAACCCCCCCAGACAGACCACCAGCCCAGCTAATTGGAGATGTTGTATCACCTCCCTCGTGTCTGTTGCTCTTTCTGTGTCTTTCTCTCACAAACACACACACACACACACACACACACACACACACACACGGAACAACCCAGTGGGAATTGGCAGCTCGGAGCGAATTGAGAGAGAAGGCAGAAAGTCATTACTTCTCTCACTAGATTGTGTGTGTGTGTGTGTGTGTGTGTGTGTGTGTGTGTGTGTGTGTGTGTGTGTGTGTGTGTGTGTAATCCCGCCATCAGTATGCCGGTCATGCTTTGTAACAGAAGGAAGGAAATTGAAGAGAGAGAGAAAGAGAGGAGGGAGAGAAAGAGAGGAGGGGGGAGGCGACAGTCCAACATGGAGTTCTTTTGATTACAGATGGTAAATGTGCCTTCAGTCACCTCCTCCTCCTCCTCCTCCTCCTCCTCTTCATCGTCTCCTCGCTCCTTCTCACTCGAGGGATTTGAGGTGGACGTGAGAAGAATCCCTGACCAGGCTGTGTGTGTGAGTGTGTGCTGTGCTGTGTGGTACTCTGTGTGTGTGTGTGTGTGTGTGTGTGTGTGAGATGGTGTTTTTATTACAGTTCGGCTAGCGGTCGTGTTTTTTAAAGCCAGGGTCACAGAGGTCGTCGGAAGAAGTTCAGACCTGAACACACAGTCCGGTACCTGAAGCTCCTGTTGTTGTTTCATCGCATTCTGCCATTAAAGCATCTGAACTCAGCTCAGTCTCGAAAATGACGATGATGAAGAAGAAGAAGAAGAAGGGGTAATTTGTCTGCAGTTTAAATCCTGTCAGTGCCGCCCTCCTCCTGGTTACCTTCCCACCCTGACACCCGTCCGTCATCTTGACGAGCTGCCTTTATTCTCCTGATTTATTCAGTGCATTTCATGTTCACTTAACTAAACGGGCTTCAGTCGGCTTTCTGCTGTGAGATAATTTACCTATTTATATTTTGAGGGCTAATTTACACCTTGTGTGGATGGTGGAGTGGTGACAGAGAAGGCGGGGGGAGAGATGAGGAGTGGAACTGAGGACATGATTCATAGTCAGTATCTTGACCTGTAGACCACCAGAGTGGCTCAGGTTAGGGGATCAGAGAAACTTGATTTACTTCACCATATATAAGCTTAACTGCATTTCTGATCAGTTTTCTACGTCCTCCAAAGGATGCGGCCCCTGAATTGGGACACGTTTTTTTTCCATATACTATAAATAAAGATGGACGTAGCCTCCGTGACGTCACCTACCGTTTTCTGAAGAGCGGTTTTGAAGCTTAGAGTGAGCTGCTCTGTCGTCGCCATCTTGGCAGTGTCTGACTCCACCCCTAACTCCCAGCTAATCCAAAAATGGGCAAAGAGGTGGGGCGTGTGTGGAGCAGAGACTCTGGCGATTGCTGGTTTGCTCTCCCACCTGTCACTCAAAGTGGCCACACCCTCAATTAAACATAACTTTAAGCTTTAATAAAATTTAAACAGGTCAGTTATATAAAAATTCATCCGGTTCATTTAGCAGATTTCAGGTAAACACTCAGAGAAACCAAATCCTGCTTTGTTTGTGACATCACAAAGTTCCAGAAGTCCTGACAGCTCATTTTAATGCTCAGTTTCTGAATACAGGCTGTGTGCATTTCTCTGTGAACTGAGAGCTTTGATACTTTAACAGTATTTCTATAGAACCTAGACTTTATAATCAAAAAAAGACATGGACGTATGAACCGTATGTAACTATATGAACCTTTAAAAACCACCTTTACTATGAGTCTGTGTGGAGCTGCTGTCACAGACTCTCTACTTCTCTGTTAACTGTCTCCTCTGTCTCTGTTTGTCTCTGCAGGTCTGAGTACAGCAGGACGCTCGATACACTCTACAGGTAAATCTGTTTCTGTTCATCAGTGATTCAGCTTCAGTTAACGAGGAGAGAACAGCTGCGGTGCAAACAGAATACACTTTATTTCAAAATATCAAATTGTTAATCAGCATTCAAAACTGAATTATCTCATTACACAAGAAAAAGAAGCAGGGTTGTGTTCATGTTACCTGTTGTCACCAGTCATTAGACCGTCTGAAGATATTAAATCTGATCTTTCTGACACTGCCTTGTCCTGATCTCAGTAAAACCATGACTTCATTATCGCAGGGTAATGAGACATTAGTATCAGCTTCACACAACTTATTATTCTTAGTCCTAAGAACTAAAATAGGGTATTAAGTTTTAATCACAAAAATGTTATTATATCAAGATAACAAGGCCACGAAGCTGTGATGAGCTTCTTTGGTCAGAGCAGAGAAGAGGTGTGTGTGTGTGTGTGTGTGTGTGTGTGTGTGTGTGTGTGTGTGTGTGTGTGTGTGAGTGTGAGTGTGTGTGTGTGAGTGAGTGTGTGCAAATGACCAAGGCCAGACTTCCAAAAAAGTCTGTGAAACCAAAAACACTCTCTTATCACGAGGACACAGATGGGAGGAGACAAGGCCAAGTGATAGAGGTGACAATAAGTGTGTTTTTTTTGTGTGTGTTTGTTACAGATACACACGGATTGAAACACACACCCTCCTTCATACACACTCACACACACACAGTCCTTTCCCTTGTTGTGACCCAGTAACAGGAGCCTCACATTCTCACATTCCTGATTAATGATGCAGGTTGGACCCAAACAATGAAAACACACACACACACACGCTAGCAGCCTAAAACACTTGTACATCCACTTCAGCACATCGACATGCAGCGCGCTCACACATGTGAAGTCATCACATCCAAACATTCTGCTTGAAGGATGAAGGTGGTGCATTCAAGGGCATTCAACAATGGTAGTTCCTCCCTGTTTCCACCTGTCCTTACCTCAGAGTTTGCAACCCACAGTTGTGCAAACTTTCAATGAGTCAGACTAATGTTGTGTTGCTGAAGTGAAACATCTTCACGTGTTTTAGGACTGACTGAGGTAGATTTGTGCATGGGGTATCAATACTAGGTCTCCCAGTGTGTTGGAGTGATGGCTGGACTTGACCTGCTTGAGGTTCTTGAAGAGGTATTTAACCTCTTGTGAGGTCACCTCGTTGACTTATGGTGAGTTTGGGCGTTAAGCAGCCAGGGGAAGTGATCTCAGGACGGTGTTGTAAGTTGCTGATAAGTGATCTTGTATACTGCTTGTCTACGACGACCTTGTGCGTTCTTCACTGCATTGACCTGCTTATGTGCTGGTGTTTGCTCCTTCAGATGGACAGGCCTCTGCCTCAGAGTGTTACAAGGATTCAGTGTTTGTTAAAGAGTTTTTCAAAAGGAACGACAGTGTTGTTCAGTGTATTGTTGTTTTCTTCCCTGTCTGTTCTGTATCTTGTGGTTTTGACAAACGCCCAGTTTGTGCAGCCACATGTTTTGAAGTGCTTCCCTGATATGTTACGTTCCTTCTCCACTGTCGTTGTGGACACGTTCTGAACCTGGTGGTGTCCTGAGTCACCTGAGTCAGATTATAGTAGGGGAGACAACTTCATGAAAAATAGTAACAGAAAAATATCTTGGCCACAGCTGTACAGGTTGTCGTATGTCAGCTTACAGAAATAACAGCTCTTAAATTGACATATTTCTTCAAACTAAAGTTGACGTCAGTTGGACAGATGTGTCTCTGGGTCAGTGTGAAACCAAACAGCAAAACACCCGGGCTCCTAAACAGGAATCAGCAACATGAACATGATGTCAGGGTGAATGAATGAGGTGAAACAAAATAGTTAATAGTAAGAATAATAATTCTCTCCTCTACACCAAAAAAAAACAAACAAAAAAAAGCAATCTATGCAAAATCTGGCCTCCACACTCCCTCAGCAACACACTGCAGCCACCTCCACTGCTTTAACGCAGGAGTTCATGCTGTATTAATTAAAACGTCAGCATATTTAGTTTAAGATAGAGGGATGTTGGAGCAGCATGGGGGGGCTGCTCAGGGGTGCTAAGTTTGCTTTTATTAACTTCAGGCCACATCCACACTCATACGTTCTCATTTTACGATCTCTGTCCAAACGACCGTTTTTGCTCCGTATCAGAAACGATAACACACCTGAAAACACGTTATCACATGACCAGTCGTGTGCGAGCCGGTGTAGACAGGAAGTAGATCGTCTACTCTGCAGCTTGCACAAAATACTACGCACGAGGAACAGCAAAGACAGGTGTAGCATTAAAATACAGAATTTAACTGAACAACAGCTGCTAGCAAAAACAACAAGGTCAGTAACGCTTGTATTGCGTTAATCAGGGAGCGACTGAGGGTGTCTACCTCATCGTTTCCAAAGGTCTCAGTGTCTGTCCGTCCAGACTCCAGTGTGTCAAGGACAGGTTTTAAAATCCTAGCTGAGATCTGCAGAAACTGGCAGCTCATTTAAATCAGTGCTTAAAACATCGCAGTTTGCTGAAGCTCACCAGTAAATCGCATACATAATATTGGAGCCCGACCGATATTGGATTTTTGGGGCCAATGCCGATATTGATATTAGGGAGTAAAAAAAAAATCTGATATCGATATATCTGCCGATATATAAACACATGTAATTACAACAGGATATTTTACAGTTTAACAATAAACTTTATTGTCCAAAATGACATCAGTGCACTGAAATGGTAAATTTCACTGGGAATTAAATAAAATAACTATAAAAATAAATAACTATAAATAAAAACATGAGATCAAATGATAAACCGATAAATAGGTTGGGCTCTACATAACATCTTTGTTTTAATATATTTTATCACTGCAGCACTTCTTTAAAATGGTGTCTTAAATCTCCTACCTGACTTACAAATATTTTTATTTATTTATTCAAATTTGTTTTTATTGTTTTGTTTAACACTATTTTAATTTCCTTTTGTCTGAATGGTGCTGTATGAATAAACTCGCCTTGCCTTCGAACACAGCGCTGGACCTTTCAAACTAAAACAGGTCCAGCAGAGTTTCCCAAAGTCTCTGTTTTAGGGGCTCAAAAACTCCAGAGTACTGTGGACTAAAATGTGGACGTAGTCTTGAACATGAAGTGGCCACATGTTCGGCAGTTCGGATCAGGATCTATGGGGTTTGTTGCTTGAACCACAGCCGAACTTTCCACCAGAATCTATTGAAATCTTCTCAGATTCTGTGAGCAGACAAACAAACTGACCAATAAACATAATGAATCCACATCGGTGCTTCCGACTGTCATAAATACACAGATCAAGAGAAGTGATCCAAACCTTCAGATTAAACAACAACTGTAGGAGGCAAAAACAATAGAATGTAGTTCACGGCTGTAGGTGTTAGTGTGTAGTTACTGCGTGTAGTAACAAAGAGTTGTATCTGTGTTGTTAACGGAGCGAAGGTGAAACAGTGAAGACGATGAGGCAGTGAAAGAGTTTGTGTTTGAGGCTGAACTGCAGAAAACACAGATGATTCTGGTTCAGCTCCAGATGACCTGCTGCACTCCTCCACATTCCTGTGTGTGTGCGTGTGTGTGTGTCTGTGTGTGTGTGTGTGTGTGTGTGTGTGTGTGTGTGTGCGCCCATGTGTGTGCGTGCATGCGAGCGTGTGTGTGTGTTTCCCCACATGTGTTTCTGATCACTGAGCGGAGACGGAGCGAGAGGTGGAGGAGATGAGACAGAAAGCTCAGGAGGCGTCGTGTCGACACACCCGGACGTCTTCTTCAGTTTTCATGTCACACACAGTGGAATGACTGACTGAATGATTGATTGACTGTCTTATTGATTAACTGATTGGTTGATGGATTGATGGATTTAGATGTCAGATGGAGTGCTTTCATTTTGTGAATTATAGTCTCAGTCTAAAATGTGGAAAGCTCAGTGTCGTGGTCCCTGAACGTGTCGACATTCCTCCTCTGAGTCCATCTACTGAAGGCTGTCCTTGAATTAAGATTATTATCATTGATATTATATATTATAGCTTGGGAACAGCAGTTGGACAATATAAAGACAAATGTCCAACTGCTATTTCAAAGTCAGAAATCAAGTTTCATGTTTTTATCATTAACGTCCTTCGTCTGAGTTTTTCATTTGAATATGGTCAGGGATCATTTCCTGGTCACTCTGGTTCACTGTCTCCAGTCAAATCAAATAAATAAATACATTTCAAATAAGGTAAAAGAAAACCCATGAAAATTGAAAAACAAAATGAGATAAATGGGAAAAATGTTTCAGTTTTTGTTTGGAGTTAAAGGTTTAATATTCTTTCAGAAATAGGCCAGAGGTTCATCAGGGATTTGATCAGCCATTGTTGTAGATACACACACACACACACACACACACACACACACACACACACACACACACACACACACACACACACACACACACCACACACACACACAGTCGTGTATCATCATGTTGTTAACATGCCATGTTGACAATACTTTCTCTTGACGGCAGTGACCACTGGGACTGAACCAGTACAGCTGTGCAGTGTGTGTGTGTTTCCATTATTGTCTATTATTATTAGTGTCTATTATTGTAGACAAAGAGCTGTTTGAGGGTTAAACCTTGGTTTTATAGAGTTAGATTTATTATTTATTAATATATTATATTATTATTATAGCATAGAGAGAGAGAGAGAGAGAGAGAGAGAGAGTGAGAGAGAGAATGGAGGTACAGACAGGTTGTCCAGAGCTCAGAGGAAATTATTTGCAAAATTCAAATGTTGTTCTCTGCTGTCATCAGCTCTGATCTGTGATCTGATTGGTCGTCTGAGCTCAGTATTCAAACTCACGTTAGATTATCTGTTTCTGTCACAGCTCTCCTGAAGACCAAAGGGGATGTTTGTTTCACTGTTATACGTGGAATAACTTATCTGAAGCCTGAAAGTGTGTTGTTGGTTATCCAAGAGCGACTGTTTCTGGAAA